AAGCACTGAATAGCATTGTATGTGTATAACTGAACCCACAAGTGAAAAGGATAGAGTAAAGAACAGAAATCCACAAACGAATTGAACAGTAACTCACAAATGAATTCACAAGTAAACAGCAAACCCCACAAATGCATTGACAAATTAACAAACCGTAATCTCCACGAAAGAAATTGACAAACTGCCGAACAGTGAAACCCATGAATGAATTAAAAGAGAAACGAGCAGTTAACCCACGAATGGATTGTCAAACTAACGAACAGTAAAACCAACAAAAAAATGGACAATAATAACGAACAGTAAACCCATGAATGAATTGGCATAGTGATGAACGGAAGAAAAAAAAAAAAATATGCATTGATAGATTAACGAACCGCAAACCCACAAAATGTCTAACATGTTTGAGATTTGGAATGCAAAGCGCAAGAATACATGTTTTGAGTGAATGGATGCAATAAATATGAGAACAGTCAAGAGCCGAACAGCCACAAACAATTAAACAAAAGTATAGTTTATGCATGTAAATAAGCTAAAAAAAAAAAAATTTTTGGCTTATAATTAAATTTAATTAACTAATAAATCTGAAAGAAAGGAATCCCCACATTTTGTAGGCCCGAACAGTTATTCCTACGAGTACTTACAACTAACGGCCATTGAAGTTACTAAATAATCTCCATTTATTTAAATATGCATAGGGATTTGTGCTAGTGCTCAGTTAACTTTTTTCTTTGCTTGTTCTTTATGTATTTGGGTGTATGTGTGCTATGGTTGTTGCTGCCACCCAGGAGTAGTGAGAACTTTCACAATTGCCTGCATCCTTAGGGGGCTAAAGAGCGTCCAAAACACAAGCTCAATATTGTATGTGAGAAACTTAGACAACCAGGACCTGTTATACATTGTATGTGTAGAACATACAATGTTCTACACAAAAATATTTTGCAGTACTTGCTTGTCTCAGTTCACTCTCACCATCAGTTTGCAGGCTGTCTCCTGCCTTTATAAGTCATGTCTGGCCACTGTAAAGACCAGTAATTTGTATCCATTTGTAATGTTTAAATGTTTGACTAATTACCTCAGGGACCTAACAGAAGCATTTTAAGGAGCTTTAATCTGAAGCAGTCATGTGGCACTGGTGTCGAATTACACCTAGTGGAACCCCCCAAAAAATATTTTGCATTACTTGTGTTGCAGTCATAACTTAACTGCAACACAAGTAATAGCTAGTTTTAATAAAGCATATCTAAAATGGCACTCTAAGCACAAACACTACAGCTTATCTGTACACCCAGAGCTAGTCGAAAGAAAAACAGTGCATTCAGAAAGCATTCAGGAAACTTAAAGTTGCAGTCTTATTCTAGAATTGTTTGTAATTATTTTAACACATCAGTCTACACTCAATGTCTCATAATGACAAAGCAAAATATTATACATATTTTTTAAATTAGCTGCATTGAAGCTGCCCATGAGCACAGTGCAGGGATGTGAAATTCATATTGCCTGATGGCAAGGATATGTAGATCCAGATGCTGGGCACACAGTTGGGCAGGGAACTCCAAACTAGGGCAATTGCAGAATGCAGCATATGTGGTGAATTAATGCAGATAGCGGATGCCTATTAGGTATAATTGTGGGCTGCAGGTATATGGCTAAAGGAAGTCCAATATTTTGATTGTGAAACAACAGCTTGTATACCTCAACCTCTAAACAAAGTGGAGACGTTTGTAAGAACACCTTCCACAAAACTGTAAAAGTGTGCAGCGCACAAAACAAAAAATGTTGACTCTAAAATGCCTTCATGACGGAAGCTTCTGCACTGAGCTAAGAACAACCATGCAGGTCTTCGCTGTCATGGCTTTGCCCTGTCTGGCCAAAGCCATAGGACATTTATTCAAGTTATGCTTTCTGGTGTCATTTCTGATGTGAAATGCTTCACTATGGCAGCTTTTCGGAAATGTAGTGTGTTATGTTATTTTGGCTTAATGCAACACACATTTTAGCATCACAATTTGACACTGTCAAATAGCATTTCTTCAGGGTATAAGATGACACAACGTTCTGTTCAGTGCCATGTTGTGGTGTTACCTACTAGAGAAAGTATTTAGATTATTAACTTGTTTTTTCTAATTTCTCACTCTTCGTTTATCGATTATGTTAACTTGCATTCTCTTGACCTTGGCATGTTTTTCCAATTCTGTGCACGAATGTGTCCTTTGAATTTGACTTGTCTCAGTTCACTCTCACCATCAGTTTGCAGGCTGTCTCCTGCCTTTATAAAAGTCATGTCTGGCCACTGTAAAGACCAGTAATTTGTATCCATTTGTAATGTTTAAATGTTTGACTAATTACTTCAGGGACCTAACAGAAGCATTCTAAGGAGCTTTAATCTGAAGCATTCATGTGGCATTGGTGTCGAATTACACCTAGTGGAACCCCCCAAAAAATATTTTGCACCTTAGCATAAACCTTTCAATTAGCAGAGCATATGGTTTTCTTTTTTGAGATAGGTGTATATAATGCCAAAAACCAGAGTACTGCAGTATGCAATGATACCTTTTTTATTGGACTTACATAATATTTCAAAGACAAGCTTTCAAGAGTGTTCCTAAGGTCTGAAGCAATATTGCTTTATTTAAAAAAAAAAAAATATGCACTTGCGCTATAAAATAAGTTACTGCGGCACTGATGGGCGGTAAGGAAATTTTACCATCAAAGATACAAAAGTGAGCAATAGGTATTAAAAGGTTGACTACCCCTGGTTTACACTGATCTTCACTAATACTTAAAGTACTGAATTCTGTAAACAAATGTTTTGAACAAGTTTTGTGAACTGAAAATTGTGACAGTTCTGTTTTCTTTACTCACTTGGTTAAACACATGTAATGTAACTATTTGAACTGTTAATTGTAAATATTTTTAACAACTGCAAGTGCTCAGAGGAAGTAAACCAAAGCTAAAATATATTTTTAATTATTCTCAAGTCAGCCTGTGCTAGTATTCTCACTTGTTCTTTGTCACTTAGCAACAAAATACATTTCCAACAACAAATAATTGATAAACAAAATGTTTACACTAACAATATTAATTGAAATAAATATAAAATATTAAGAAGCATAACATACTACAAACATGTATGCACATTTACAAACCTATAAACACTTTATTTACAGACTTCTACAGCACATCAAAGGAACACTCCAAGTAACGTAACTAAAACAGCCTGCTACGGTGGTTACGGTGCCAGGAGTGACCCGACACCCCCTAAATGTAATTAGTTAAACAAATTCAGAAAGGATAGACTTCTTGCATAGGGTCAGTCAGAGCTTGGAAGATCTCTGAATAAGACGTTGCAAAACAGTGCTTAACTCACTGGTTTGGAGTGATCAGCTGACTCTCTCAGCCATCAGCCAATAAAAAAAATTACACCTAGTGCAGCTTAATAGTAAAGTTTAAAAAAGGTATAATGCAGAAAGGAGGGTGTTTGCATTGCAAGGAATTCTTGCTACAAATGTTCATTATCTCCAACAGAGTCTACAGGGAAATGGCTGAGACCAGGCCAAAGCTATTCATTCAATATTTTAGCAGGAGCAGCTCCCAAGGTTTTAAGGTATTTGCACACCACCCAAAGAATATTTCTAAAGAGATTTTCATACAGCAGCACTGTACACTAAAACATGAATAATAAGCCCTTATGCCATTTACTTAGATAAGTAGATTATATCTGTGACAGAGAAGAACCTAGTAGTGTGTTTTCTCACTGAAAGACAATCCATGGAAAAATGTACTTCCCAGAAAGAGAGTGAAGTCATCACAATCATTAAAGGAACCAGAACGATGTGGGATAAAAAATAAAAATAAAATCTACTTTATTTTATGGTTTTAAGGTGGGTGTTAGATCTAAATAGTTAAGAAATAACCAATATTAATATGTTAAATACAGGTTTGCATTTCTAGTGTTAGAGTTTCCCTTTAAGACGCAACGCAAAGTTGCAGGAGACAGACATGACTACATTCTCCCTTAAAGAACTAAATAGCCTTGTGAATTTTAACAAGAAATTCTGAAAAAATTTATAACAATAACTATCAGCAAAGACCTGGTAGCTGGTATATTTACATTTCAAGCCAATATGTTTTGGGCAAAATAAGAAGCTGTAACAGTAACAGATAAAGGCAAGAAGTATTATTAATTTTGACCTTGGACTTTCCTTGAGACAAATGGATAGATCAGCTAACAGTGCTATATACATTTTTTTTTTTAAGGTATATGCACACCAGCATTTACATAATTATATAAATAAATTAATAAATATACACGTAGACTTCAAATATATATATATATATATATAAATTCTACGTGCATATTTATGTAATATTTTTACATAATTAAGAAATTTTATGGATTGCAATTTGAGGGACCTAGAAAGTGATTGTGTTTTTAGGCGCTTATAAACATATAGAATGAGCAAATTTTAAGATAAAGCTGCTGCCACACTTTAGTAGGGACTCTCTGCCCTACTTCAATCAATTGTAAACAGTACACTATTTCACAGACAAGTGTTAGATAGTGAGGAGTGTATAGCGCTAGGATTAATCAATACTGACCCCTAAGGGTTGAAAGGTATTTTAGTAAAGAAATTCCTAAAAGGAAACAAACAAATATAGTGCAATCAAATATAGTGAATCAAGTAGTGAGAATAATTTGTTATTGAATTCACTCACATGATACAGAGCCTCTTAAGGACCGGCTCTGATCTCTTCCACTTGTGTGTACTTTAAGGTGACACACACCCTAGACGTCCATATCAGGCGAAAACCTCAACATTGGAACCAAAAATGGAAGAAGACCGGGAAGCAGAGCTGACCCTAGTGTAGAAATCCTCAATAAAGTAAAATCAATATACAAATATAATTGGCTTCTCACCTTATCTAGAGCCTCTGAGTGTGTAAGTAGATGTGACAATTTAGGGTGACAACCCTTTTTTGTAGCAGCATTGATGTATCTTCAGACTTGATGTACAACATAATTAACATTTATTGTAACAAAATTAAAATAAATAAAAAACAAAAGTATACAAACAAGTCCAGGTGATATGATGTCCAAGACGCGTTTCACCGATCAAGTTCAGCTTTATTAACTTAGTATGCTAAGAGTTATTTATATTAGAGCCTGATTAGAATATATAACAAACTGTGCTAGATTAATTAATGGGACAGTTTAGTTACATAATGGCACCATAACAACGTAATCTAAATTACGTTGCTAGGTTGCCAGAAGGCCCCCAGGCTCATTCTTACCTTCATGGGCTAAGCCGTTTAAGCGGTTTGACCCCGAAATTGCCATCAGCGCCAATCTCAGCTTTCCCCCACCCCCCAGGACAGCATCCGGTTTGTGAAATTTCCCTTACAGGAAGCGTGGAGTGTTGTCAGGCAAAGGGTAGCTGACACTCTAATACAAACAATAACTCCCCATTCGTAAGACGGTCTTGGAAAGCCAAGCCAGATTTATCAATGGGGCGTGCCTGAAGTGTTCCTTTAAAGCACAAACAAGTGATTTAAAAAAAATAAATAAAAAAAAAATAAAAAAAATAGTAAACCCTATATACACTGCTCAAAAAAAATAAAGGGAACACTTAAACAACACAATGTAACTCCAAGTCAATCACACTTCTGTGAAATCAAACTGTCCACTTAGGAAGAAACACTGAGTGACAATTTCACATGCTGTTGTGCAAATGGGATAGACAAAAGGTGGAAATTATAGGCTATTAGCAAGACACCCCCAATAAAAGAGTGGTTCTGCAGGTGGTGACCACAGACCACTTTTTAGTTCCTATGCTTCCTGGCTGATGTTTGGGTCACTTTTGAATGCTGGCGGTGCTTTCACTCTAGTGGTAGCATGAGACGAAGTCTACAACCCACACAAGTGGCTCAGGTAGTGCAGCTCATCCAGGATGGCACATTAATGCGAGCTGTGGCAAGAAGGTTTGCTGTGTCTATCAGCATAGTGTCCAGGGCATGGAGGCGCTACCAGGAGACAGGCCAGTACATCAGGAGACGTGGAGGTGGCCGTAGGAGGGCAACAACCCAGCAGCAGGACCGCTACCTCCGCCTTTGTGCAAGGAGGAACAGGAGGAGCACTGCCAGAGCCCTGCAAAATGACCTCCAGCAGGCCACAAATGTGCATGTGTCTGCTCAAACGGTCAGAAACAGACTCCATGAGGGTGGTATGAGGGCCCGACGTCCACAGGTGGGGGTTGTGCTTACAGCCCAACACCATGCAGGACGTTTGGCATTTGTCAGAGAACACAAAGATTGGCAAATTCGCCACTGGTGCCCTGTGCTCTTCACATATGAAAGCAGGTTCACACTGAGCACATGTGACAGACGTGTCCGAGTCTGGAGACACCGTGGAGAACGTTCTGTTGCCTGCAACATCCTCTAGCATGACTGGTTTGGCAGTGGGTCAGTAATGGTGGCATTTCTTTGGGGGGCCGCACAGCCCTCCATGTGCTCGCCAGAGGTAGCCTGACTGCCATTAGGTACCGAGATGAGATCCTCAGACCCCTTGTGAGACCATATGCTGGTGTGGTTGGCCCTGGGTTCCTCCTAATGCAAGATAATGCTAGACCTCATGTGGCTGAAGTGTGTCAGCAGTTCCTGCAAGACAAAGGCATTGATGCTATGTACTGGCCTGCCCGTTCCCCAGATCTGAATCCAATTGAGCACATCTGGGATATCATATCTCACTCCACCCACCAACGTTGCACCACAGACTGTCCAGGAGTTGGCAGATGCTTTAGTCCAGGTCTGGGAGGAGATCCCTCAGGAGACCATCCGCTACCTCATCAGGAGGATGCACAGGCGTTGTAGGGAGGTCATACAGGCACGTGGAGGCCACACACACTACTGAGCCTCATTTTGACTTGTTTTAAAGACATTACATCAAAGTTGGATCAGCCTGTAGTGTGTTTTTTCCACTTTAAATTTTGAGTGTGACTCCAAATCCAGACCTCCATGGGTTGAAAAATTTGATTTTAATTTTTTAATTTTTGTGTGATTTTGTTGTCAGCACAATCAACTATGTAAAGAACATAGAAGTATTTTAGAAAAATATTTAATTCATTCAGATCTAGGATGTGTTATTTTTGTGTTCCCTTTATTTTTTTTTAGCAGTGTGTGTGTGTGTGTATATATATATATATATATTTTTTAATTATTTTAGGCAGTAAATGTGTATGGATGCATTAGGCTGTGTTTGTGTGTGGGGATTTATGTATTGGGCTGTATGCATAGGGTTAAATTGTATGTTATAGGCAGTATGTATGTATGTATAGATGAAGGTATTAGACAGCGTCTTTATATAGATGCATATACTGAGAGTGTTTATATTTGCCAGTTTGTTTCTTTCTTTCTCTAAATGTCTGCTCACTAGGTCTCTCCTTAAATATAAGCAAGAGGATATTCAGCACTTTTCCAGTACTGGTACAGTCCAAAGGGCAGCCAGATCACGAAATCCGGGGTCTCTCTTGTCCCGTAGAGAAGCAGATAAAAACAGCGAGTGAGGTGCAGCGCCTGTAATGTCTTTAGAGTGTGTGTGTATATATATACACACACACACATACATACACATTATATATATATATATATATATATATATATATATATATATAATATATATAATATATATAATATATAAAACCATAAAATGGAGGAGAAATAGGAAACGGATAGTGAAGTACGTTAAAAAATGCAGTAAGGTAAATAAAATGATATGCACTCACTTTATATAAGCTTAGGTGCAGCTCCAACTTAGACGCTTGGGCGGAATAATCCCCGGCTGAGGATATGGTGTACATATGGAGTAAAGACTCTATAGGTGGTTCTTGTGGATGCAGCTTCTCTATGAGATATGTAGGGGGAATAAGAGATATATAGTGCAATATGCCAGACTCTATATATTATATAGCTATAAAAGATGCGCACTCATGTGTATTGGAGCCTATAGAGTGGCTCCACAGGTATGGAATCCAGCAGCAAACAGGCCCAATAAAAAAAAAAAAAATAGTTTTATTGATACAAAAAAAAAAAAAAATAGGGTAAAAGAACTACATAAAATAATATTTAAATACATTTAACACGTTTCGCCATACAATGGCTTTCTCAAAAGTGTTTACAGAAGGAAGGACCAGAGCTGCTTATTTAAAGCTGCTCTATTTCTCCCCCTTTTTATGGTTATATATACACACTCTAAGGACATTCTAGGCAGTGCACCTCCATCTCTGTTTTCGCTCTCCTAAGATGTCTCTGTTTCCTAAACATCTCAACAGTCTCTATCCTTTCCTTAAATCTCTCCCCAGGTGGTTTCCGTTCTCTAAATTTCTCACCAGTGCATCTCCTTCATTAAATGTCTCTTCACTGTAATTCAGAGTTTAGTGGATAAACTTCAGAGAATGTAATTGCATTCACGAGGGGGCTGCAACATGGATCGTTGCCTAGGGTAGCAAGAATTCTACCCTTAGCATAGTGAGTGAGGTCAAATGATGCATTTGCGCTATCCTTTTTGGGGACAGGATCCCCACGTCTAGACTGTCCCACTGAAATCAGAACGATTGGGAGGCCTGAATTTAGACATCAATATACAATATGTAGATAAGATGGCAAAAAAATACAATAAATAAAATGTAATCTGATATGCAGAACCCGCTATAAACCTTGGTTGTAGGATACAAATAATATCTCAACTTTGTATATAACTTAAGAGCGCTTTATGTTGCATAAGAACAATTGAGGTGTTTTTTTCTCTAAAGCTTTGCGCACCAGCACTTTTGTTATACTAAATTTAGACACTGTGGCTGACTCCCTGAGCGACCATAGTAAATGGAAACCAATCAGCCTGTAACAGAGACTGGATGCCTAGGAAAGCCTCAGACAGGGGGATTGTTGGATTGCCTTACACCGCAGGCATCTAGTAACAGCCCAGTACATGCTACAATTTTCATGTACAAGTACTTCCAGAGGCCGCCAAGGCTTTCCTATGGAAATTCCACAGATATGGTATGTTGCCATAGTGATTAGTAGCCATTTCTGGAAGAATCATCCACACTAAAGTAGCCATGTCTTGCTGATAACAGAGACTCGGTTATACTTTCAGCTGTCCAAAGGGATTTTGGTAGCAGCTATATACACTGCCTGCTAGCTGTCACTAAGGGGTTAAATGCCAATTAAAAGACAACTTATGGAGGACTGTATGATAGGTGGATAAACTTTTTCGTGTGCATCAATGAAGGTCTAAAATTATGTGACTATGCATAAACATATATTTACATTTATAGACACATGCATCTTATATGTGTTTAAACAGAAAACAGACAGCTGGTCAGGGAACAATACAATCCAATGGCTATCTTGTGATCGTGCCTCAATGAAACAGTAGGATTATTCAGGATTTGCTGCCTGACAGAGGTAATATACAAACAGCAGGAGACAGAGAAAGACTAAAAGGTAAGGGGTGAAAGCAGTGTTTGAAGGGAGAAGTCTTTAAAAGGTATATTGTAAAAATAAGCAAGGCCATAATAGAAAAGGACTGGAATTACGGATGACAATAGGCAACAATGTTGGATTAGTTTATACAAAAGGCTTTCCAGAGAGCATTTGAAACCATGACATACAAAATACAAGGTAAATGAATATAAGTATGGGGAATTATGCACTTAATTATTTTATTAAGCAATTTAGCACAAATGTCAGGAAAAAAAACACTGAAATATACTTGGGGGGGGGGGGGAAGGGGGCAACCTAGCAAGCAAACAATGTTCAATACTTAAGCAACTAAAACAGTTAACTTTGAACACATTTCATCATTACCAAGTTTAAAAGAACACAAATGTGTATTCCTGATCCTATATTGTTATAAAAAAAAAAGAAAAAAAAATACATGTTATCCCCTTTAAAAAACTCTTACCTAATTCCATGTCTTAGTTACTCCATTTGTCTGATTTCCATGTATTAAGACAGGTGACCATATGCGGCCCTGTAAATTCCAAAATCTTTCAAACCTTTACATAGGGGGTATTGTTATACTCTGACATCACTAAACATAAATATGGCTGTTTTATTGCAGTAGTACGCTACAAGCAGAGTTTACAAGCCAATCAAAGCACTCTAGTAAGAATTAAAAGCATGGGAAAAATATGTGTTTGTTTTACTTTTATTCTGTGCTGAACCCTTGTGGGGAAAAGTTGGACTTTAATTTTTCCGTTGACTTTTTCATAAATCATCTGTTTCCCCTTCCACCAAGAATATATATATAATTTTTTAGGGTGAAAGTTAGTGTGATAAGTGCACTCTTATTGTTTTAAGATATGTAACTTAGGTTTATGAGAAGAACCATAGGGTTTAATAAAAAAAGTCTTGAGTATTAACATAATTTTATAATTTCTTAAAGGGATAGGGCCTCAAATTAGTATACACCTGCTGTTGACAAGAGTTGTCAGTTGCTCCAAAGATCACATGTAGCAGCTATGGGGAAAAAGGAATTTTATTAAAGGACACAGAGGCTCTTATTAGGCTTTATCTCTTTCTTTATTCCTCAGCAGCAAAGAAAGGATATTGATATTTTTTAATATAGCAATAACAAAAAGAGAAAACAAATACCCTTAAGGGTTAACCATATAACATTCCATATCCATTAACCAATAGGATCAGTCCTTGTACTATATCCCTTCATGTGAGGTAAACTACTTCCTCTTTCTTTGCTGCTGCCTCAGCTAAGTACCACATATTTTCAGCTCCTCAAATATTGTGTTGTTCAGTTTTCTCCTGATTCATATTATTATTGTTTTCTACTGTTCATTTTAAATATCAGTTTTTCTTTGTCTAATATTCAATTTTTATGTGTATTTGACTACTGTTTGTTTTACTCTGTTTCCCAGTGCAGGGTGCTTGCCTCCTCCCTGAGGCAAGCCCCATCCTGCACTGCCGTTTTCAGGTTGTTTATAACCCGTCCCTCATTCCACTTCCCCGGGTGGGGGTCACTCAGGCATCCTCTCCCCACCTCCCCTCACCCCCCCCGGCCCGGAACGAGCAGTTTCGCCGCCGGACGGGCGGCTGTTTCTTTGGCGGCCGTTTCTGCCGCTCGCGCATGCGCGGTCCGCACTCGCGCATCGCGGCAGCCATTTTAACTGAGGGCAATTTTGCCGCTCTTTTCGCCCGCGGTCCGCGCCACTCTGACAGGGAGGGGCGCGAGCTGATTGGGTGAGGGAAGTGTTGGGCAGCTTACCAGTGTCCCACAGGAGTCATTCCTGAGGGAACACTCGGTAAGCTGCCATATTATATGTGCCAAAAATACTTTGTGCCTCTTTATAACTGTGCCTGCCTTAAATTTAACTCAAGTGCTCAGCCACTTGCCCTATACTGCTGGTTTTATTAACCTCTGCAGTGCTGAAAGTGTGCATTTTGTCCAATAGTGACGGTTTATTTCAGTGCCTCCCTCTACTGTTACTGGGCACATTCCTGATCACTATGCAGTCCCCTGCTGATAGACAGTTACCCCCCTCCCACCTCTACTAAACCCAGCAAGCGTGATAAGACAGCCTTGTCTACAGACGCTGCTGTCACTGGGGGAGTTGGGGACGCATCCCAGGAGCACGTGAACTCAGAGGAGTTCCAGGCGCTCCTGGATGCCACGATGAGTAGGTCTGTTACACAGGCCATTTTTACCGCCATGGGGGCGATGTCGGACACCCTGTCCCACTCTATTTCCTCTGCTATTAGGGCATCCGGTCACAACCCGGGCTCGGCACCCCCTATATCCACTGATAGCAAGCCTATGGTCCCTAGCGGCCGCAAGGCGACGTGCAAATCGCACCATCTGTCAGGTGCTACCTCCAGAACCAGTAAGACGGACAGGTTGGGCCCTGTTGAAATTGATGACGTGGTGCTCCCACGTAAAAGAGCCCCCCGCCGGGCAAAAACGGTGCGGACTTGGAAGAGGGCAAAAGCCCTATCTGATCCGTCCGACTCCGACTCGGACTCAGAGGAGGTATCAGATGGGTCCGATGACATCGACCCAATTAATTCAGACAATTCGTCCCCCGAACGCAGCGACACCGCGCCTCCAGCTTTAGACGCGGAGCGCGAGACGGATGAGTCCGCTGTATTAGACCCCCAAGGGGAACCCCTTTTTGATCCCGACACCTTGCATAATCCGCGTTCAGCGGAGTGGTACCCCACAACTCATGTGGCCGTTTATATTGCGACTAGGGTCAGAAAACCCCTCGACAAGGCCACAAGAAGCAAACTGAGGGCGGAATGCCCAAGGCCCACTGTCCCAGACATGGCTTGCGTGACCCCTGAAGTGGATCCCAAGGTCGCCCAATTCCTGGGTAAGTCAGGTTGGAGGGCCAAGAAGGGTTTGGACTACTCCTTAAAACACTGCCAGGACAAGATCCTGGACATACTCGGGCCTATAGCTAAAATCTTCGATATGGTCGAAGCGGCCCTTACTGGGGGGACCCCAATTGACTTGATGGCCATCAGAGGCTGGATTCAGAGGGGCATATGCCTAATAGGAAATGCCAACACCGCTTTGGCCACAGAAAGGCGTAAAGCCATATTGATGAAAATCGAGCCAAAACTAGTGCATTTGGCAATCTCTGAGCCTGGAACACAGGCAAAAGGTCTCTTATTCGGAGACAATTTTGTTAAGACCCTGGGTAATTACGTAAACACATTTACGGCACTAGATAAGGCACAACATAATATGAAGCGAGTGTTCTCGCAAAAGGTTTTCGGGGGGGCCGGCAGACAGCGGGGCCGTCTGTCCGGCCGCCCCTCCCGGACTCAGTTCCGGGGCTATCGAGGCTCCGCCACACCACGGTTCCACCCACCCGAACCGAGGGCACAATCACCATTCTTCCCGACCAGGGGCAGATCATGGCATCCACGCGGAACCAGGGGATCCTCCTATGGCCGTCGGCCTTATGGTGAGTCACTCCACATTACGCACCTTTCCCTTTGTACCTGTGGGGGGCAGATTGTTTCATTTCCAGGATGCGTGGCACAACCTAACCTCAGATACATGGGTCCTAGAGACCATCCTCGGCTATCACATCGAATTTACACAACAGCCGATTCAACTCTCATTGCCACATCGGATTGTTTTTTCCCCACTAGACAAACAGCTAGTGTTAAAAGAGATTCGCACACTGGAGGAAAAATGTGCGATATACAGGGTTCCCATTACCGCCCCCGGGTTCCTAAGCAACATCTTCCTAGTACCCAAGAAAGGTGGAGGCACGAGGCCAGTAATAAACTTGCGGCCTCTCAACGCCTTTGTCACATACCATCACTTCAAGATGGAAGGAATACACTGCCTCCGAGACCTACTAAGACTGGGAGACTGGATGGTAAAGTTGGACCTCCAGGATGCATACCTCACAATACCGATTGCCGAGGACTGTCAGCAATTACTGCAATGCCAATGGGAACAGACGATGTGGCGTTTCCGCTGCCTCCCTTTCGGCCTGTCTTCAGCCCCGTGGTGCTTCACCAAGCTGCTGAAACCGGTAGTGGCCCTCCTTCGCAGCAGAGGTGTACGTCTGATCATATACCTCAACGACATGCTGATCATGGCTCAAGACACACAGCTACTGAATCAACACCTATTCTGGACAGTGACCCTTTTGCAAAACCTAGGTTTCCTAATCAATTGGGACAAATCGATCCTACAACCTTCACACTCGATAGAGTTTTTGGGCTTCGATATAGACGCAGTACACGGAACGCTCAGTCTTCCTACCGCGAAAGTAAAACTTATCAAGAAGGAAATCCGGAGGACGTTGACTCGACCAGTCTTAACCCTCCGACAGCTAGCCAGGATAATTGGCCTGCTCTCGGCCTCTATACAAGCGATCTTCCCAGGCCCTCTCCACTACAGATCCCTACAACAACTCAAGGCAACTCACCTACGCTTGGGTCACTCCTATTCAGATTCTGTACCTCTAGACTGCGCGGCAAAAAAGAAACTGGCATGGTGGCTTCAACACATGGAAGCATGGAACGGCAAGGCAATCTTCGGCGCCACTCCGGATCTAGTCATAGAATCCGACGCGAGCAGACTGGGATGGGGGGCCCGCTGTGGTCCTACCTCTACAGGTGGAAAATGGTCTTCCGAAGAAAAAGAACTCCACATCAATGGTTTGGAACTCCTGGCTGGGTCATTCGCCCTACGGAGCCTCCACTATACATGGACAACCACTTGGGTGGCACGAGGTCCTCAACCCTCACGAACTTGGCGAAAGAATTCTGGCATTTCTGCCTGAGTCGCAACATATCCGTACAGGCGGAATACCTCCCAGGCCTCTCCAACACCGTAGCGGATTGGCACTCCAGGCATTTACGAGACAACAGTGCATGGCGATTGAATCGCACAGTATTCCAGAAGCTCCACCAACTCTGGGGACCGATGCACATCGACCTTTTTGCCTCCCGACTGAATGCTCAACTCCCCTCATTCTTCAGCTGGAGACCGGACCCAGACGCCACGGCAGTGGATGCCTTCCTACAAAATTGGCCGAACACCAGGCTATACGCCTTCCCCCCTTTCTCACTCATAGCGCGAACTCTCCTACACTTACAGCGCTCCCGAGCATCGTTGGTTTTGATAACACCGTTCTGGACAGCACAGCCATGGTTCCCTTCGCTCATGGAAATGTCAATCGACCTCCCCAGATTGATTCCAGGGAGCACGGAATTATTATCAGACCCCGATGGGAACTCTCATCCACTTCTGGTGCAAGGTCATCTCAGACTCCTCACATGGCTCCTCTCCGGGGACCCTGGACCATGCCGAATGTTTCACAAGCAACTTTGGACTTATTGGCAGGAGCTTGGGCCCCAGGGACAAGACGTTCCTATGCCCATGCCTGGAACACATGGTGTAGTTGGTGCGTGGAACGGCACGTGGATCCCATACGTGCTCCTATAAACCAGGTTTTGGGTTTCCTTACTACCCTTTATGATCAAGGCTTGGCTTATCGCACCATAAATGTCTACAGGTCAGCGATTTCAGCTGGGCACACTGGTTGGGAAGGTTTCCCGGCTGGGAAGCACTTATGGATCTGTCGTCTCCTACGGGGCATAAAATTTGCACGTCCGCCACAACCTCGTTACACGGCCCTATGGGATGTGAATATGGTCCTTCGTTTGTTGCAAGATTGGCCCCCAAACTCGAACCTAACACTCAAGCAAGTGTCTGCAAAATTGGCGATGCTTCTATGCTTAATTTCCTGCAAACGGGTATCAGACGTGAGGGCCTTGGATATCGATGCACGATCATTCACACCGGATGGTGTCCTGTTTAATATCACCAGACGTACAAAGTCGAACACCACTTCAGTCTTCTATCCCTCCTTTCCTCACAACGCTAACCTCTGCCCGGTAGCATGCCTGCAGGAATATGAATTACGGACCCAGCCATTCCGGAACCCAAACACACATAATTTATTCTTGGCAGTGAGGAAACCTCATCAACCAGTATCCACGGGAACTCTGACACGTTGGGTGAAATGGATAATGTCAAATGCTAACATCGACACGGCCGCTTACGGAGCACACTCTACCAGAGGCGCTATGGCCTCTAAAGCATTCTCCATTGGATGTAAACTGGAAGACCTCCTCCGCACAGCTGACTGGTCCCGAGAATCGACGTTCAAGGAATACTACTTTAGACCAACAGAACATATCTCATCTAGGGTCATATCACAGCTTTAAACTAGCCTAATAAGAGCCTCCGTGTCCTTTAATAAAATTACCAGATTTTACTAATTACATGACGTAAAGTCATGATTTTATAAAGGACACGGAGGCGAGTATTAGCCCGCCCACTGAAAGGTAAGCCGTACATGCATTTTTTCCCACCCACTCGCTCATAAACAAGTTATGGCATTTTGGATGTTTAGAATCTAAGTTATAAGGTAATAACTGCAATTTAGACTGATTTATGCTAGAATGTCGCAAGCAATGTTTTCAGATATAAACGTTTGTCTAAGGACCGGTACAACATATATGCATGACAACGATATTCGAATATATTTTACCATATATCTCTCTGTCTCCTACAGCTTAACCCTGTGATGACATAACCGGGATCGTCCACTATCTCGACATTATTTGGAACATTCGCCGGAATCCCTTGTTGATGTGTTCAGCTTCGGCGTCAGCCAGAAAGAGGAAGTAGTTTACCTCACATGAAGGGATATAGTACAAGGACTGATCCTATTGGTTAATGGATATGGAATGTTATATGGTTAACCCTTAAGGGTATTTGTTTTCTCTTTTTGTTATTGCTATATTAAAAAATATCAATATCCTTTCTTTGCTGCTGAGGAATAAAGAAAGAGATAAAGCCTAATACTCGCCTCCGTGTCCTTTTTAAAATCATGACTTTACGTCATGTAATTAGTAAAATCTGGTAATTCTCGTTTATTTCTATTGAAGGCTCACAAGATCTCACGTGATCCTCCATATATATCATAGTACTGTACTGACAAGGACTTGTTGCATGTCATCTACCAGGAGCTGAAAAATATAGGATGGCGGCGCCTTCAGGGTATAGCATCAGGTAAATATATGTCCCCGGCACTGCACTGCATGGTCACAACACACCAAGCGACAATGTCCCCATTGTGGTCTTTGCAAAATATTCCTTCAGTGCAAAGATGAAACCCTGGACGGTCAGGTTTTATAGCTACATTACATAACATGTCTGTCACAATGCTGTATAATCTACAGCAGGTGTGGGGAACCTTTTATCTGCCAAGGGCCATTTGGATATTTAAAACATCATTCGCGGACCATACAAAATTTTCAACGTAAAAATTAGCCTGCTGTATTTGGTCAAACATTTATTAAACTCACTCCTAATGTGATGGCTGGAACTGCTTCTCTTTGGTGTGAGGTTAGCTGGTATTGATGATATTGCTGCTCGCAGTGTGTATGTGTGTGAGGGGTGCTCCACCCATGCTCTTCCCCCCGCCGACATCAGCCGGCAGGGGAGACCTAAAGCGCATGCGCAGTAATGGCCTCGCTCGCATTAGGATTTCCCTTTTCTTTTCTTTTTTTTTATTAAAACCCTATGGTTCTTCTCATAAACCTAAGTTACATATCTTAAAACAATAAGAGTGGTCTGGGTGCCTAAAGTGTCCCTTTAAAGGGCCTATTTTACAAAGTAAAACAGGATAGGTTTCTGACACAGGCTACATTATATTTGCTCATATAAAGCAAGTCCCATTTTTTCTCAGAATGACAATGTCTATTTATAGTAGTAGGATATTGAAGGGTAATGTTTTTGTTTTGTTTTTTTGTTCTCTCACCGAACCGAGTATAGAGAAGTTTATAGTGAAATGATCTAGCCAGTCACTTTCAAAGAATGAATACAGTCTAATTCTGGAATGAGACAGTATTCATAGTATGATAATATGGAAGTATAAAATTTCACTTTATTAAATTAACTCTGACTGGAAAGACATCGGACACCCGAAACAGCAAGTAAGTGATATACCACATGTAAAGTGTTTGACAGATTACCAACAGATGGCACCTGGAGACTTCTGGCACCATAACCACTAGAGTGCACCATAACCACTAGAGTGACCCTTCAGGTATCCGCTCTCTGAATTTGCACTTCATGTAAAGCAAAACTCCCAAAAAAGCAGAGAACTTTGCAGGGGAATGATCTATTCTCCAAAAACTGCCTTATTAGGCTAATTTGTTTTGCGTAGAGTATCCCTTTAAAGGAATACAAAATTACATTCCTAATACAACGGTGTCCCTATGGCCCCCTCCCCCGGTGTAGAACAGGTTTTAAAAAATAAATAAATAAATAACTAAATACATTTCACTTACCTTAATTCCATCGTTGAAGTCTATTGGTGCTGGCTCCAGCGACCTCATACTGAAGGCGGACTTAAATCGCATGCCAGACATGCATAGCGCGCACATTGGAACTTCCCCATAGGAAATCAATGCTTTCCTATGTGGATTTTGGAGATACTAAACTCTGTGAAATTCCAGAAAGTGCCAGAGCCACTAGAGGCTGTCTTAACTGTGCAATGTAAACATTGTAGTTTCTCTAAAATGTCAATGTCAGGGTTAAGTGACAGGAACACTGCACCCAGACCAGTTCAATGAGATGAAGTCGTCTGGGTGCCTATAGTGTCCCTTTCACAATTTGCACACCAAACTACTGCAACAATGGGTGTGCAGGAACCCTTTTTTAAAAGGCATTACAATAATACACACAAAAAAGTAGAAACAATTAATACAATTCAAAAAAAGCTGGTTTCTTACTTACCTTAATTTACTATAGATCTAAAGACTTTAGGAAATATTGAAGAAATAACTGAGCTATTTGACCCTACTACTGTTTTCAAGGGGGATGCTGAAAGGGATATGGATTTCTGTGGCATTGGCCAGTTTAAATCATGAAGACACGAATGACCTAACTAAATCTAAATAATACAAGCTTGAAGTTTGCTTTGTTTTGTTTTTTTCTCCATGGATAAATCTCTTCACAGCCACACAAATATGTAGCTGCTGCCCAAACTCCCCCATGGGAGTAAACAATGACTTGTACAGAGAACCTATACAAGTTATATAAAAGACTACTATAACAGATCACCTGGCACCCCAACTGGGTACCTCCGTTGACTGATGCTTCCTAGCTGATGCCAAGGACCATAAACACCGCACCGGACACCACAACAACTGCAGACTCCACAACCGCCATAGCTTAAAGGACCACTATAGTGCCAGGAAAACAAACTCGTTTTCCTGGCACTATAGTGCCCTGAGGGTGCCCCCACCCTCAGGGACCCCCTCCCGCCCAGCTCTGGAAGGGGGGGAAAGGGGTAAAAACTTACCTTTTTCCAGCGAAGGTCGGAGAGCTCTCCTCCTCCGATCCTCCACTTCTCCTCCTCCTGGGCTGAATGCGCACGCGCATTCAGCCGGTCGCATAGGAAAGCATTATCAATGCTTTCCTATGGACGCTTGCGTGCTCTCACTGTGAAAATCACAGTGAGAATCACGCAAGCGCCTCTAGTGGCTGTCAATGAGATAGTCGCTAGAGGAAATGGGGGAAGGCTTAACCCATTCATAAACATAGCAGTTTCTCTGAAACTGCTATGTTTATAAAAAAATTGGGTAAACCATAGCTGGACCTGGCACCCAGACCACTTCATTAAGCTGAAGTGGTCTGGGTGCCTAGAGTGGTCCTTTAAGTGGAATCTCGCCGTCTTCCTTCCACCCTGGACCAATCTCTGACATCCAGGCCTGTGTGGGAGAGACTTCTCCTCCAAGAGAGCATAACAGGAACAGCTCTTAAAAGAGCCAAATGATTAGAGCCCAGAGCAGTATACAAAGTATAGCAATCCCCAGTGTGATTATAGCAGTTCCCCTCCAATCATAAGACAAGACTACGTGTTGAGTGTCAAACGGGATCAGCTTATCTGAGGGTTTATTGAACAGCTTGGTCTTTTATACAGTTTTCCCCACAAGGTTACCACCCAGGTGGACCTTGTGGGGCACAGGAACAACAAGCCAGTAAAAATATAGTTTTACATTCAGTCACTCCCATACAGTTTACACAATCCCTCCCCTCTGCCTGTGATATAATTAACAAAGACAATGGACTAACTCGATTAACTAATCAGAAGAAAAAAAGAAAAAAAAACACATTTTTACAAACCCAAAAAAGTACCACAAAATACAACATATCCCCACAGTCACATCCCCTGATAGCCCCGATCTGGGTGAACAACATATCCAAAAATCACCCAGATCGGTTCAGGGATTTCCTGGAAGTCTTATTTTGGCCCCACTGTGCACATGATCCCATGCCCAAAACAGTTCCATACACTCGATTACAAAACACTGCTGGACAATTTAAGATGGTCGCCGCCACATGTTTGAATCTGTTCCAGTTAAAAGTCCAAGGGGCAGAAACAGTACTTTTGAACATGGGTTATCACAGGGCCCATAGTCCCAGGGTAGGAGGCAGGCAAACAGGCCCCTCCAAAAACCAGTGGCAAAGTTGCTTTCGTCACAACTACAATATGATTTCTAATAAAATAAAAAAAAATTAAAATGTATTTAAAAAACAGACCTTCCCACCCATTACCAGGTAATTAGATAGTCATGTTGTCTTGGTAAAGTGTGGTTCTTGTGCCATCCTAGTGACAGACTTGGGAACTCATTTAAAAAAAAAAAAATATATATATATATATATATATATATATATATATTTTTTTTTTTTTATTTTTTTTTTTTTTTTTTTTTTATAGATTGTAATATCAGTATGTAGTGGTACATATGAACTTTAAAAAAAATCTTTCTGAACAAGAATACACTGGATTAAGCATCACAAATAACTGATTTATGATGTACTGCTATCAGATGTTAATATGTTCTTTTGTAAAACTAGTTGCACAATCTAACCGAAACCATCTGGTCTCTGTTCTGCCATTAACTGTACAGATTTAAATAGAATATACAGAAGTTTATGGGTCATATACAGGGCTCCTACTAAAAACCATCAGGAGGTTTTAGCCACTCCCTGACCACTGCAGTAGAAGCACATACTGAAAATGTAATAAAAAAATTGAAAGTCAACAGGTGATTATCTTTTAGTTAATGTATGTAATAAATATGTAGTATGGTATCCCCCTACATCACAAGATTTTTATTAAAAATAAATGAAATAATAAAGCATTAAAGCAATTTTGTGAATACTTTCTACCTGGAGAAAACTAAACATGGAAAATTTAAAATTTTTCATTATTTGTTTGATCATCCTTTGCAGAAGTAGAGAGATTGCAGGTAGGTATGCACCAAAATCAAAATTCTGGGCAGAAACCGAAAATTCAGGATGCCCTTGGCCGAAAATGACTTTTCCCCCCCAAAATTATCTTAATATAGTTTTTTTTCTATAAATGTTAATATCAGACTTTTTAATGAATTTAATATGAAAAACTACAAGCCAATAAAAACACAAAACAGAATCCTTCAGGGATTTGTTTCATTCCGATAATTTACAACATAATCATGATTACAAAGAAGAGGACTGTCTTTAACTGGACACAGTCCTTATACAAACTGATGGGCAGCAACTGAGTGTTGCCCTGTGGAATGTATAACAAATCATAGAATGAAGAATGCAGCATTTGAATTATTCATACTCCATGGCATCACTTTTCATTGTAGAACAGCAGCAGTCTCAATACCTCACCTAGAATGTATCCTTGAGAATACACATTTAGTAACCCCATCCGATATGATCTTGTAGGGGCATAGGACTAAACTAAAGATGGGCACAGAAGAAGACCAACCTTACTGGCCACAGACTGGAGATGCCCACAAGGCACTCAGTGTCTCCCCAGGCTGTCCCTATTCTGAAATCCCCAGTGATGCAAATGACACATTCACAAGGGCAGGCCCTAGGTCAAAACTAAACAGCGTCTCTCTCCCAATGCTTTCCCTGGTCTGCTGCTGCGGGGCAGTGATGTGAGCCTAATGTGAAGTTTCCTGCAGCCCAGCCAGTTACAGCCACTTATCCCCCTGTCCCCATACACTGCACACATACCTTGGCAGTCATGCTGTGCAGAACTCACACATACTTCCCATAGAACGTTGTCCTGGAACATCCAAGCGCTTTGTTCAGATCAGGTGCACGCCGGCTTCTGATTGGCTGCCGCAAGGCCAGCCTTCACGTGACCACCGCCTCCTTCTGCTCTGTAAAGGAGATGGTAGAAGGCTGCTCTGCGTGGGAGGCAAGACCTGGGCTGCGCTCAGCCATGCAGCAAGAAGTAACTGGCTGGAGGGGAGCGCAGTGCGCTTCCCACCTGCCTGTCAGCCTGACATTGTGCACCCGGTGCGCCCTAAGGAGGCCACCTGGGCCTCCTTATGGTAGTGCCGCCCCTGGAAGGGAAGGGTGTAATTTTCGGCAGATCTGATACATTTTTAGCCGAAATGGGATAGGCCCATTTTCAGCCAAAATTTTGGTGCATCCCTAATTGTAGGCTATGAAGTTAACCAAATAGTGACAGATTAAGGAATTGTAAAGATACAGTAAATGTGACACTGTAAATTAAAGGATCACTCCACTTCCCACTTCTTATGAACTGCAGCCTTAGCAAGCCTTCCCCTTTTTTCCCAGAAGGGACTTCACAGGAAACAAACCAATAAGCCTCTGAATTGGTGCACACGAACACACAACTACATGAGCCAGCGCGTGCATGCGCACAAACATACGTGTGCACGTGCACACACACATCTGGTCTGAGGTCTGGCACGGAGGAGCTGGTGAGTGGGGAGGCAGGCACACTCAAGTAGAGGGTGTCTGCCACTTTCGTTATCTCAGAATCTGCAGTGCCCCTCTCCCTCCGACGTTGCTGAAGGGGTTAAAATCCCTTCAGCGACTTACCTGAATCCAGCGCTGATGTCCCTTGGTGCTGGTTCAGGCTCTGTCCATGCTCCTGACGTCGGCGGGGGAGACCTAATGCGTGCATTAGACCTTTCCATAGGAAAGCATTTTTCCTATGGGGATTCCGGCGATGCTGGGAGTTTTTCATGCATAGCGTGAGGACGTCCCGCGTCGTTTAAAACACTTTTCGTGTTCTAAAAACACGGAAGTCCCTCCAGTGGCTGCCTGATAGACAGCCACTAGAGGAGGACTTAACCCTGCAAGGTAATTATTGCAGTTTATAAAAACTGCAATAATTACACTTGCAGGGTTAAGGGTGGTGGGAGTTGGCACCCAGACCACTCCAATAGGCAGAAGTGGTCTGGGTGCCTGGAGTGTCCCTTTAACGGAAGGAGTCTGCAAACCTCCCCTGGCTGTTTGACTGACAACCAGGTGGGTGTTATCTAGCAAATTTATAACAGTGCTGATTTCTCATAGAAATCACTTTTATAAACTGGGGTTAAAGTAGGCTACTCCTCACCCATAAAGCACTTCAGCAAGCTTTTGCGGTGTGCAGTGATCCTTTAAGACAAAATTGCTGACACAATGGGATTGCATAATCCCAAAATGCCAGCAAAACTGAACTACTACAAGTGCGTGTGGACATGATATCCACTTATGTTGAGCACTGCTCACCTCTCCACCTTCCGCAACATAAAAAAATGCAATGTTTTACACTCCAGGATTAAAAGGACTTAAATTAGATGAACTGATCTGGGTGACTATAGTGTCTTTTTAACCCCTTAAGGACACATGACATGTCATGATTGCTTTTTATTCCAGAAGTTTGGTCCTTAAGGGGTTAAAGTCCCAATGTATGAGAGTCTTGGATAAGTAATGCGTTTCCAAAAAAGTGGAATAAAACTCAAGTGGGCCTTTTTTCCCCCCCAGTGTCAGGGACATCATAGAAAAGAATACCCCACACTTACTAAAAGGTTCAATAGATCAGTGGTTCATTCCGGATTTATAATCCAAATTCCACTGAGTGGAACTGGCTCACGCAACTACATACACTAAACTATTTACTGTATTAGTACAGCCAAACACATTACAATGGGACCCTCTCCAACATTGGAAGAGTGATAGTAAGGGGGAATGATAGAGTCCGTCTCCACTGCAAAAAAAAAAATTAATAACTACTCGAACATGAAAATTCAACTAGTTTTAGATCAGGATACAATTTGATTTTAAAATCATAGTTTGGGTTGGGGGAAATCAGTCACTCAATACGAATACAGTCCATATTCCTCACTCCTCCACTTAAGGCTGTGCCAGTCCTCTGATAAAGGTGAAGTCACATGTCTTTCCAACTGATACAGGTGTTAGCACAGCTAACATGTGATAAGAATGTCCCAATTTAAATTTCCATCACAACCATCACAAAGCATACAGCTGAACAATAAGCAAAGGATCTTGGAGCCAGGGTGTGGCATAAATATGCAGCAGTGAATAAGCACAGTGCTGATAAAATAAGTACATTGGTTAATTATTAAAGGAAGTGCATATATTACGCAAATAACTAGGTTATTCTAGGAATGTAAGTATTCTTAAGAAGCAAAAAATAAATTAATTAAAATTATATATATATATATATATATATATATATATTTTTTAAATAAAAAAAAAAAAAAATAACACACACACACACACACACTTATACTAAGGAAAACAATACTGAACACCAATATTTCATTTTCTGGTGTAAAATGAAAAGGACATAAAAAAAAACAAAAACAAAAAAAAAAACACACAATTCCCCTGCATCATTTCTTCTAGTATCAACGTCAAGCTCTATATATCATCATTTTAAGGACACAACACTCCAGAGTTCCATTACTTCCCTGATGCCAATAACTTGAAGTCTGATTGCAAGTTATATGTTGACATGAATAATTTTTTTAAGCGAAATGGCGTCATATCTGTTTTCTAAACGTAGGTACCACAAGCTATCTGCCCAGGTATCACAAAAACCCCATTCGTACAGAAGGTGTATGGCACAGCACCATCACTATCTCACACAACTTCACAGGGCTCTGCCAATAGCAGCTAGTAGGGTAATTAACTGGTAAGAGAAGCTCTAGCAGTGACGTCCTTACCAGCCGCGGGTCACTTACTGCCCCCCCTCCCCCTCCAATCCCTAGCCGTGCTATGACGGCACGGACTAACCGCGTACAACACCCGGTGAACTGGGAAATCACGGGGCTCCTTACTGGCACAGCGCGGCTGCTTTATACAAGTACATATTGCCCTATGTGTAACGGTGCAGCAGGTGTAGCAGTTTTATATGAAGAAAATAAAGAGCGATATTTACCAAGAATAGCGTTACGTGCTGTCACGGTCCGGTCGTCATCCACGGAAATTCAGCACTGAGTGGGATCAGCTAGTCAGCCGCCGCCGACGTCACGTTCTCTCGAGATAGCAGTCACCTGATACCGCAGGCTGTCCTGCCTCACACACTGCGGGCAGGCAGGTTCTGCCTCAGACTGGGAGTGAGGGGAGGGGGGAGTTAAATATATAAATATATTATATATATATATATATATATATATATATATATATACATATATATTTATATGTATATATATATATTTATTTATTTTTTTAGTTTAAAAAAAAAAGTAAAATTGTTCTGTTTATACTTCAGTTGCTCTTCCTTACTATCTAATTTTATAAGGGATAGGGAAAGGAACATGATCATTTAAACATGATCAAAGTCAGGGAGCAACCAAATAACAGAAAAATACTCCATGTTAAACTGAGAAAATTAGATTAATGTGACAAATAGCATTTTACAGGTATTTTTGTGATTCGTGACTCATTGGAATATTTGTTGTATAAATTCCAAAAATTAAAGGAAATCCTAGATATACCGGGTGTAAAAATCAGGACTAACCTATTTTGTGTTATTATTTTTTTTGTTGCAGTTGTATAGAAATGTATTAAAAGTAAAAGTGAGAAAAAAATGCATTAGAAAAATGTTTCTCCTTTTTTTTTAACAATTCATATTTCAGAGGTAACTCCAACCCTACAGCAAAACTGGGGGGGACTTAGGTAGAAGTTCCCTGGGCGCAGATGAAGAGGAGTGCTGCTGCCAAAGCCAGATGGTTTGGGCACTCTGCGAGGCACTCTGGAAGGCCTGCAGCTGCGCCAGGGAATCCATTAGATCTCCAGGTGATGTATTATTGCCCTCCTTCCTGCCCAGGAGTTCAGCAAGTGGGGGGGTGATGCAAATGCTCTGTTTAAAAAAAGGCATCACTGGTCTGTTTGGGGAAGCTGTGTTTAACACATAAATTTGTGACCCCCTCACTCACCACCCTTCACTCTATCACAATCACTCCCTCTAACTATATCACATTCTCCCTCAACCTTGTCACACTAACCACCCTGCCACAATCACCCCCTCACCCTGCCACACTCACCCAACTCTCGCACTCACCCATTAACCCTGTCACATTCACGTACTTCACCCTTCACCTTATCACAGTCACCCTATAAAGATAGTCATCGTTGTAAACACAGTCCCTCCCACACATAAAACACAGCCTCACTATAAACACAACACACAAAAACCACAGTCATCCCCTCTTACACACAAAACAATCGCTGTAGAAGCTGTGCTGGCTGCCAGTAAAGCCGACGGATGGGTGCATGATGGGATTTCGTTGATCCCAGTGTGCACCGGCTGACTGCCCTTTATAGGAGAAAAGAAGGGCACCCAACTGAGTCTTTGCCCCAGGTGAAAGAATGTCTAGCTTTACCACTACTCCAAACCTTTTTGCCAGTTGTATTTTTAATTAATAATGCCCTAAATGGGGGGGGCGGGGCCTGACCGTGATGCAGAGCGGACACAAGTGAGTTGAGCTCCCGCCGAACCGAGGCCTAACAGCGCACAACGGCACACAAAAAGAGCACTAATTACCCCAAGAGTTTACCTGAGCAGCGGCATGGACAAGAGGACCCCACGGAAACCCCACAAGAGGCCATCTGAGACGGGTGCCTCGGTGGCCGACCTGTTTGCGGTTTCCCGCGCGGCCCAGCCTGATAGGGTTGCAGGCGCACCCGGAGTCCCCCCAGGGTCAACACTCACCAAACGGTGACACCTCCCAGATCCTAGCAAAACTGCTTGAGGTAAAAACCTACCTGGCAGGGGAGATTAGCAGATCCACGACGGAGGTGAAAGCTGAGATCGCAGCACTTTGGCACCGCACGGCCACCCTGGAACACAGGCAGGAGACAACAGTCATGGCACACAATGAGGTAACCAGCCAGGTTAATAACCTCACTGCAAGGCTGATCGCAGCAGAGACAGCCCTGGAGGATTTAGCCAATCGCTCCCGCCGAAACAACATTAGGCTGAGGGGCCTACCAGAAAAAGAGGGGGAGGGAAGCCTGACAGACACCGTCATGGCGATCCTGAAACCCCTTGCACCAGACATCCCAGACCATCAGTGGCATCTTGACCGGGTTCACAGGGCCATGGGAACCAGGAAAATGGATGCCAAACAGCCGAGGGATATCATCATGCGCTTCCAGCACTACCAAACGAAAAAAACTATAATGAAGTGCAGCAGAGAAGGTCTCATCAACTATAAAGGGGCAACTTTACTCCTGTTCCAGGACCTGGCCCCAGCGACACTCCAGAGGCGCAGAGAATGGCGACTGATCACTGACATCCTCAGAACCCACAACATAAAATATGCCTGGGGCCACCCCTTTAAGCTTATGGCGTTCAAGAATGGCTGGCCGAGGATACTGCCACCTGACGGAGACACGGTGGCCTTTCTTCAGCCACTCGACATCCACGCTCCGCCAGACCTTCAATGGCAGACGGCGAATCCAGCGGACCTGCAGCTACTACCCAGAGAGTGGTATACAGCAGGAGAACGAAGACACACACCGTAGAACAGACACACCGAGCACCCACACCCAGACCGCCTCGCCTGGACAGACAACCCTGTGAGGGTGAGATAACAAGGGACACGAAGGGCAGGTATTGACTCACAGGTCTACTACAACCAAAGCCCATTACATCGCAAAAAGAACGTAAAGATTTTTTAATTTTAAAATTAAAAAAAAGAAAGAAAAAAAGATTTTATATCAACAAACAAATGAGTATAAGAAAACAGGGGGAAAACTGAAAAAAAAACAAAAAAAAACAAGAGGAATTTGTCCCTTTCTCCTACCAACGGACAAACTGGCAGACAGCCGAAGATCGGGGGGGGGACAGATCCACGAACTGCCAAACATAGAGATAACGAACGGGGACTCATCTAAAAAGCGAACATGAAACCAATTAAGTAACAGTTGGCGAGGTTGCCGGGCGGGGGGGGCTGAGGAAACAAGCCCTAATATCCCGTAGGATTGACCTTAGCGACAATAGTCCCTTCTGACCCTCTCGACTGGGGGACCGCACGCCCTATGGCCTGCAATAACGGATTTAAGCAAACTACTAGTCACTGATACCAGACCCCTAGTGCCATCGTGCCATTTCAAATAGCTATACTATACGGAACGATCAGAGCAGACGCAGACAGGTCAAGCTACTGTACACATGCAAACACTAGATAGCAAACAAAACCCTACTGAGATTCAACTACCTATGGTGAATGGACATACAGGCTAGACTCGGTGTCTACCAGGGTACACAACATCACATGGGCACTCACACACCTTGGAAATAACATGTCATGGCACCACATCCAGCAGGACACACACGGAGGGACTGTCGCAGCTAGTGGACACACCATGGCGGTGGTGACAGGACCCCTCCCACTGACCACCCCACCGCTTGTCGGCCCCCCAAGATGACCGCATAAGCTCAGAGACCCAAAAGCACACCAGGAACAGGAGTTGAGACCTCCCCGGCCTCATAAGCAACATAGGGACCGACGGGCAGGACAGCCAGGGTACGGGGACAACCCCGCAGACGTGCTCACGCAAACACTAAAGGGCCTCAGGCCAAATCTGTATAGGTTCGGGGACATGCATCCGCGAGCTGACCCCGATGTGGATGCAGGCGCCCCACACAAGTCTGGCAAGAGATAAGACCAGACGGTTTACCAGTTTAATTGGTTTTTGTATATATGTTTATGTTCTGATTAACAACCTCTCTTTTTACCCCCCCCCCCCCCATGGTGGCCGGAGTAACCCGAATGTGGTGAGCGCAGCGACAGAGGTAGGAGGCACCCCAAAGGACAACCCCCAGGGCCAGCCGGATGACAACACCCATAAGTTAGCCCACACGCATACACCTCAGACACCACTATGTCTATACGCATAAATTCCCTAAATGTCAAGGGACTGAACGCCCCTAAAAAGCACAGACTATTATACAGAGAACTTAAGAGACTAGGCCCTGATGTGGCCTTTCTACAAGAAACCCACCTACCCAAGACCCTGGGAATAACTCTCAAGGACCACATATACAGTACAGGATACGAGGCTAGATCACACTCCAAACGCAACGGAGTAGCGATACTAATACACAAACGTTGTCCGCTGCGAGTCACAGGGGTCCACACGGACACGGACGGAAGATATCTTATACTGTCAGGGATGCTATACGCTCACACCATCCACCTCATAAACATTTACGCAACCACTGACCCATCCAGAGATTTCTGGGATCAATTGGCGGAACACCTAAAAACCCCTACACATGGCATGCTTATCATGGGGGGCCCCATGCCCGGCCATAGACAGAAGGACCATAAGAGGCTTACCACGCTCACACGGCAGGGGGAGACCAGACAGACTGATCCATGACTTCCTCTGCACTACGGGACTGATAGATGTGTGGAGGGCTCACCACCCAGGAGAAGCAGACTATACATTCTATTCTGCACCCCATGACTCGTACTCCCGCATCGACTACGTCTTAGTTAACGACCAAGCCATTCAAAAGATCACGAAGTCCTCAATAGGATCTATCACGTGGTCAGACCATGCAGACATCAGCTTAGAACTAGGAAACCTCTGCACCACGACCCGGTGGAACCGGAAACTCAATACTTCCCTACTGCAGGACCCTAATATTAAAGAGACTATTTGCAAAGAGATAGTAGAATACTTCCAACTAAACACCACACAAGACCTGACTCCCGCTACCGTATGGGCTGCTCAGAAATCGGTTATCACAGGCACACTAATTAGAGAAGCAACCAGAAAAAAGAAACTGAAAACACAACACCTAAAGTCCCTCCTACGCGACCTACATACACAAGAACAGAGACATAAAACCAACCCCACCCCAGACGGGCTTCTGGCCCTACAGACTACCCGACACCATATAAAGGAGACTTTATTGGACGACGTCGCGAAGGCTATGATTTGGTCTAAGAGAACATTTTACGAACAAGCCAACAAAATGCACACGTTACTGGCTCATACATTACGCCCACGTCCACGACGAACACATATCACGACAATCAGGGATCTGTCAGGATTACTGTTTGATCCAGCACGTAGAACTGTACAGCACGGATGAC